GCGCCAGCATCGCGTCGAGAATCCCATCAAAGAGGTCCCCGAGGCGCGCGACCACGTCTGTATCGTGCGTCGCCACAAAGCGCTGCAACGCAAGTTGCATGCGGCGCGACCCAAGCGTTGTGGCGGTGCAGGCGCGGCCCAGCTCCAGATCGCAGCGCACAAGCAACAGCATCAAATCGAGCATCGCCGTGCCGTTGGCATCGTCGCCAGCGTCCACTTTCGCGAGCTGCGCTGCCAGAGCAGCCTCCGGGTCGGTGAGCGCCATCATCTTGATGGCACTGCCAACGTCCAGACGGTGCAGCCAACTGTCGAGACGGGCCGTGTGCACCGCGGCTTCCAGCAGAGATGCCACGTCCGGTGTCCCCACGAGTGCGAGCCACGCAGTGCGCACAAGGGTGGCCACGGCGGCGTACCCGGCCTTGCGCAGTACGTCCCAAACACCCACGAGCTGACGTGGCACATCGATGACATGCCACATTGCCTTGTCCGCAACCAGCTGGTGCTCAAAGAGGATGTAGCTTGGCGCGCGAGGCCCCGTGCACTCGAGACGCGTCGTGCGCTCGCACATCAACCCGTCCAGCCATACCGTGTCGACATCGATGCCCCACCCGTAGCTACACTCGCATTACGGAAGCGAGAGGTCGGCTGCAGGAATCGCCGTGCGCACAGCGTCGCTTGGCCCGAGGTGCTCGAACGTGTGCTCGACCACCTTGCACAAGACGCCACCGAGCTCAAAGCTGCCGCAGCGCACGTGCGACCCGTAGGTGGCCAGAAAGGCCCGCGCGAGTGCTGGCGACGTCACAGTAGCCGCATCACGCGCCGCGTCACACGACAGTCGCAGCGACTCGGCGCGCAGCGGCATCGACGCAGTGGGCACGTACGAGTAGGCCACGTGCACGGCCGCCTTCACACGCTGCGCAGGGCTACTTGGTACGCTCTCCGTCTCGGGCCGACTGTGGGTCGCGAAGTTAGCGCAAAAGTCGCGCGCCGCCGAGCCCGACTCAAACCAATGGCCTCCGACCCGAGGGCGCGACGTCGGGGCGACCAGGACACTGTCGGACGGCGGCTGCAAGAATGGCTTGCTCGGTGAATCGCCAGGTAGCCCCAGACGCAGCCCGTAGAGCACAATCCCTCCGCTGGCGCGTGCAACCACCTCGACGTCCGAGAGCGGCGCGGCGGGGGTCGAGAGTGCCCCTTGCGACTTTGAGAGCACTGTATCGAGTGTCGTGAGACGTCGAAGCAGCGTCGGCGCGTCGCTTAGCTTGGCCACGTCCATCGTCCATTGCGTCAAGCCGAGCGAGGTCATCGCGGCATCAAATGCATCGATTGTCGGCAGTGGAAAGGCGTCGTCCTTGCCGAGACCGAGTCGCAACGCTGCCTCCAGCTCGTGCAAGGCGTCAGTGGCGATTGCGAGTGTTGCCGCAAGGCTTCTCGGTGGTTGCATCGTCTTGAGAGGCATCGCAGAAAGCAACTCGACGTGGTCGGCTCGAAGCAAATGCGGTTGTGAGCGGTGCTTCAGGGACGAGTTGGATTGCCCCGTTGGGCAGTAAGCCCAAAGCCCAACGGTGCTACCGGGACGTTTTGTGACCATGCTATTCGTTTGGTTACCACAGCAAGCGAGGGCGTTTCCAGACGCCTTCTGGGCAGCTAGTACAGTATGGACAGAACCTTGTAGACAACAGGGTCCTGTCCATACTTACTGAGAGCTACTTGTCCATGCTTGTCCATCATGGTTACCGCCAGATCCCGCCAGATGGACATTTGTTAAGCAGGATGATCCATACAATCCGTTTACACAAGTCGGAAGCTTGCGGCTAACAAGTCATGCTGCTCACGCCACAGACAACGTTCGCGGCGTTCGTAGACGGAGGCCTCCGCGGGTCCAAGAGTCTGCAAGTAGCGCAGTACCTTCTTGTGGCCGCTGTGAACCGCTGCTTCTTGAACAAATGCCGTCCATCCAAAGCCATAGACGTCGTGCAAATGCCGGAGCATGTCGAGGCGGCCGTGGGACGCTGCGCGGATCATCATGCGCTCCAAGACGCGAGCTGGCAGCGTCGTTGGTAGTTGGAAAGCACCGTTAACAAGCGCCAAGATGTCGAGGCTCCCGCTGTGTGCGGTGGCCACGAGCAGCATGTACATTGTACAGCGAAATATCGATGTCTGGGTTTGCGCCAAAGTTTTCACGGTGTCGCCAACAGCGCTGTAATACTTGGTCGTCAATCAGTGTCGAAGACTGGAAGAAGTTGATAGACGTCTCATGTTCAGACAGATGCAATCGACCTCCGTGCACGAGGTTGAGATTGAGCTCATGGGTGGCGCAGAAGGTCGTAGTAGACGCACCCTGAAACTCAAAGTCAATGGCCGCGATCTCGGACAACGACGGCGCACCGGAAGGTCTCTCCGGCAACGTAAATTACGTACGCGGATCGATATGCTTTCATTTGGAAAACGATGATTGAAGGGAATGCGACAGGCAAATGCATTGGACGACATTTATGGAGGCTTAACACTACAGTACTGAATCAAACACACCAATTGAGTTCGCGCCGTTCTGCGTTACTGCGTCGAGCGCTTGCGCTTCTTTGCGAGCAGGTGCGTGAGCTGCGCCTTGAGCTCGGCGTCACAGACCAATGAGATCGCGTCCGTTGTCTTACGATGACCAATGGTGAGGGCCAGAGCCCAGTCGACCACCTCGCCAGCCTTCAGTAACGTGGTCGCCCGCGCAGCCACGCTTGGTGCCAGCTCGATCCTTTGGTTGACCTTCTTGAATTGGTACGTGAGCTCGGTCGTGATGAGCCGGAGCGTCGTCGAGCGACGGCGGTCAGGCAGCGCGACGAGGATCAAGAGGAAGACGACGTTGTCGAGATGGTTGGTGGAGCCCATGCAGAACGGCAGCAAGAGCTTGCTCTCGGACACATGCGATCGACGACCGGCAATCTTGAGGAGGCAGTCGCGAGGCTTGCCAATGCCGGCGGTGAGGAGGAAACGCACCACCTCTGTCTTGCGAGTGTTCACGGCCGTTTGAAGCAGCTCGTCGTGGCGACGGAGCTCTGGCTGCCGCTGTAAGATAACCGAGGCGAGATCGAGTTTGCCGAAGCATAGCGCCGCCTTGAGCGCATCGATCGAGATGTCTTGCATGCAGCTACCCAAGAGATAGTCCACCACGGTCCACGCATTCGCTTCGATCGCATGCTTGAGCACGTCATTCTCGTGAGAGCAAGTGGACGTGCGCTCGTGGAGGAACTGGACGAGTGGCAGGTTGTTTCCCGAGCACGCAAAGACCATCCAGTCGTCGCCCCAGGACGCGCCATGGTCGACCAAAAGCTGCACGACGCCAAGCATTTCGGGCTTGCGAAAGTACTCAACGGGAACATCTGGCGTCGCGGTCGGGAACGGGTAGCCAAGCGAGAGGAGGTACTCTGCCATGCGCAGATGACCACCCGCAAGCGCCTTCTGAACGACGATGTCCCGGGTGCAGCCTTCGTCTCGGTTGGTCAACAGAAACTGGACGACCGGAAGATTGCCCCATGCCACTGCCTCATCGACGGCGTTGACCGTGCAGTCAAACGTGCCAAGGCTGTGCAGGTACTGCACGACGTCGAGGCCTGCACTGCCTGCCGCCCCGTCAAAGATACCGTGCGATGCACCTTCGGTGCGGTGCTCGATGAGGAACCGAACGACGTTGAAATGACCGTTGATAATGGCGTACTCGAGCGCGTAGACTGAGCAGCCTTCCGTGCGGTTCTTGTGCAGGAACTGGACGACGTCCAGATGACCTTCGGCGGCGGCGAAGTCCATGGCGTCTACCGAGCACGCGAAACCTCGTTCGTGAAGCGTTTGCACCAACGGCAAAAAGCCTTGGATCGCGACATCGTCCAAGAGGCTCGGGTAGTGTAGCCACGGAAAGGTGTCGAGAGCGAGCGTCGCGTTCGCGAGCGTCGACTGATAGATCGCGTGCCGCATGTCGTAGGAGGTCAAGTCGTCCGGGCGCAGACCAAAACGCTCCAGCAAGACCACGCCCTTTGCGTCGTCTCGGGAGAGCATTTTGGGCATCGCTGTTAGTGTAAAGTACGAGGCGCGCTGGACAGAGCCATCTACATCCAAAGTTACGATCCACGCAGCACACGGAAGCTGCAACGCACCATCAGCGACATGGATGCGTCGACGCAGCTTGGGGACGGTCGCTCGTAGGTCCAAGAGAAGCTCGACAATCTCGAGGCGATGTTCTGAGAAAGCTACGAGAATCGCGTCTTCGGAGGCGAGGTCGGGCCGGCACCGGACAATGCGCTTGGTAAGGTGCAAGAGGCCTTCAGCGATCGCCACGTGCAGCGGCAGACGAGCGTCCCACTGAGAGTCATCAAGACCATACGCTAAGGCGCAGATTTTGTCATTCGCCTCGCCTGCCCACGCGGCGCCGGGTGCAAAAGTTGAGCGGAACGACGCATCGCAATTGTAGATTTGGTCGCGGGCATCAAACTCGAGCAGCTCGTTGCAGGCGGCAAAGGCCATGCGCACGTCGTCGTAGACGCCAACCTGGTAGCCAAAGACGATGGCTGCGATCTCGGGCTGACCGAGCACGACGCTGCGGAAGGTCGCGGCCATGCTCAAGCTGAAGGCCGATTTTAAACTCAACTGCATCCGGACATCACCGGCGCTTTTATCCGGATATTCCGACGATTGTTCACGGGCATCTTGGATTTGAAGCTGCCTTGCCTTGTCAACATAGCTGCTTCAATCCATGGGAATACGAACAACGCCGAGCGACTACTAGTAGCTACGACTAGAATAGAGTCAACAACAACGAGCTAGACGACCGACAGGACGTTTTCCTACTGAATGGTTGCAGCAACAGCCTTCTCTTACGCAGCAGAAAATCGCGCAACGATGCTCCAGTCCATCCACCAGTTGTCATAGTTTGCAGGAAAAAGTTAGAATTCGGGTCACAGGTCCTGTTTTGTGTTGCGACGCCGATAGCAGTGTGCTGAAGAGTCAAAATGGCGTGAATTTCAACGCACACTATATTTAGAATTTTAGAGTCTGTATCGTGCCAGGACATGCATTTAGTGTGAGCCAGATATATTCGAGCTTCGCACGGATCCGGCAGACGCATGGCCGCGGACCACAGCTTTGACGCGCTCGGGCTCGCGCCGTCCGTGCTGGGTACGTCGCTTCATCTCCATCCAGCCGACGGATCACACGGCCTCGTGCAGCGGCGCTGCGGCGAGCGGGCTTTGACTCGACCAAGGCCGTCGAAGCCTTTAGCTCGCGCGAGCTCGCCAACGGTACGCCTGCCTTGGCCATTAGACGACGCGCTTATGGCCCTTGGCTAGTCGCCAAGATCTCGTTCCAGGAGGCGTCGCGCGTGCTCACAGCCATCAAGGGCCCCCGCGGCGCGACCCTCGGGCTCTCGGCTTTCGACGTCTTGGCGGTACGCCGCTTCAACCCGTGGCCAACAGCAACTGCATCTGCGTGTAGCAACTCGACGCCCACCCGCCGATACGAACGTTCGTGCCTGGGCTCGACGATGTGCTCGGCGGTGGCATTCCCATTGGCGAAATCACCGAAATCTGTACGCGCTCCTACATCGACGAGGCGTCATGTATGGACTCTATTAGGCGGCACGCCGGGTGTCGGGAAGACGCAGCTCGCGTATACGACTGCCGAAGGTCGATTGCGATGCTGATATGACCATGCGTAGTATCCAGATTGCTCTTGGCGCGCAGTGCCCCGCCGCCGACGGGGTGCCCTTCCAGAGCATCTACATTGGTGCGTGCTCCATGTCTCGTCATCTGGTACTTATGGTCGATGATAGACTCGGAGGGCAGCTTTATGATCCATCGCGCAGCAGCCATGGCAGCATGCCTTGTCGACGATGTGCCCGAGTTGCAGCCGCTGGTGCGCTTCCCTTCATTACATATGACGAGACCAACAACCACGTTAGGACCGCGATGGCCTTCTTCGGGGCTTGACGTACTACCGTGTTCACGACTTTCAAGAGCAGTACGAGGTGCTCGCATCGCTCGTCAACGTCCTGGCAGCCACGTCGTCGGTAAAAAGACCACGTGGAATGTGCAGAGACGCGTAAAACCTGCCGGTTTAGATCCGCGTCGTCCTCGTCGACAGCATTGCCTTTCACTGTCGGCATGGCTTTGACGACATGACGGGACGAGCGCGGATGCTGCACAACATGTCCCTCGTACTCCGGAAGCTCGTGCAGGACTTTCCGGTTGCCGTACGTGCATCCAAGCACAGAGATGACGATGGAGATGGGTTTGTAGGTGGTCTTGATCAACCACGTGACCACGTCGCTCCACCACGGATCCGACATTGACGGCTCCAACATCGTGCCGGCGCTCGGTAGACCCGACTCTTCCTTTTCGTGTGGCGTCTGAGAGGTGGATGCAGGCGAGTCGTGGTCGTTCTCGATTACGAATCGCATCATGCTGCGCTGGGAGGTACGAGTTCAGGACGATTCTGACGACGATTGGTCATTCTTTCGATCGGGTGTAGCATCAAATACGGGTCGCGCAGGTTGTCAAGTCGACGTCGCTCGCCCAAGCCAGTGTGCGCTTTGATGGTCAGATCTGATTTGCCGAGAGTGATTTGGTGTTATGTGATGCCTAGTCACGGAACGCGGCGTGCGCAGTGGCGAGCGCAAGCGCAGTCGAGGCAACAGCGACGACGAGGCTATTGATTAAGACACCCTCGATCTTTGTTTTGTCGCGACTTGGCTGCTACAATGTACGCACGCAAGTCCATGCAGCATGTAACAAGCGTCGGATTCGGAATGAGAAGTGTGCCAACCCAAGGAAACAAACAACACAGGTGTTTGCGCATTGGCAAGAGGAGCAGTAGAACACGGCGTCCGTTGCTGCATTATGGTGCTGACGGAAAACAGTAGATTGCTTCGAGCTGGGTCATCGACAAATATTCACGCATAATATTATCCGATTTTGGAGGGACATGAAAACGGCGCATAGCGACCGTGTTTTCTGGTGTTCCGGGTTAGAGCTGGGTTAGGGTTGACCGACATGCGCCATGTCGGTCGCATGGACGGCCCCTCGATATTTTTCGAGCTTGCACTCTTGTATTTGCATCAGAAAGGGCTGTGGCTTAGCGAAGGCGCTCTCAACGGCGTGATCGACACCCTATCTGCGGGCAACTCCACACTTCTTGACAAAGTAGTATTTCAACAGGTGGAGAATGATCTACGAGTGTCGTACCGATGTTGCTATCCCACGATGCTAGTTACACTAGGTATCATCCCTGCATTAATGCAGCCAGCGATCTGAATTGGTGTCGAGTATGTGCACGAAGAGATGGAAAGCACATAAGGAAGCGTTGGTGTGCGTTGGATGCCTTTGTTGCTGTTGTTCATAGCTGATAGGTATCGTCGCAGCCATTCTCGAAGTGTGAAATCCGACTGCCCAAATACTAATGTGCGAATCAAGGACACGACCAACGCAGAGGACCCGGGTATTAACACAACACATATTACTATCCTTATCCATTGTTGCTGTTAGGCGGGAGTGTGCGGAACGGCCTCGGCCATCGCTTTCCGAGCTTTCGCAACGCCACATAGCACCCAGAGACGCACACAGAGGAGCAGCAAGAAGGCAGCGAGGGCGTCCGAGGCGATCGCGACGGCCACAATATACATGCGGGCAGCCGACATGAGCGTGTGGCCAAAGCACGCATCGAACGACGGGTTCAAGTAGGACGTCGAATAGTGGAAAAAAGCGGTCATCGAGCACGTGCTGGACACGCGCCCGTTCTTCTTTCCGATGCAGTCGGTTGTGCGGACGCAGTAGACGCCGGTGGGCTTGGGCACATTTATGGGGCACGTGGCATGAATCCAGCGCTCAAGCGCATTGGATTTGATCGGATCAAAGCCGGAGAGCGCGGCGCAACCACGGCAGAGAGTGGAGAGATCACTGAGTAGCGACTCGTTGTGCAGCAGGCTCGTCTGGTTGACGGTAGCGCAGAAGCTGGTGATGGTCGTCGTCGATGTCACCGTGACGTTGAGGAACGTTGCTGGAGGCGCCGAGAAAGTGGGCGCGATTTCAGCCGGCACGTTCAGGTTGCGCCACATGTTAGGAAACAAAACGGTCTCGACCAGCGGCAAGGCGCTAAAGAAGCGGTGGCCTTCACTCACGCAAAACGCGTCCGTGAATGCATTCGCCGCGTCTTTGGGGTACGCATCGCTTAAGAGTTCCGACCAGCAGGACCAGCTCCTGAGCGTTTCTAGGTGCTCGTATTTGCGAACCGTCTCCAAGGCATAGTACGCCTCCATGTGGTGGTGGTGTATCGTGAGCATCGGCGCGATCTCGATCGCGTTGGTGTTGATAGAAATGACCTGGATGGCGCGCTGCGGTGTAGAACAGACTGTGTACCAGCTCGTCAAAGGTCGTGGAGTACGGCCAAAGCCATCGTGGTAAATGAGGTCCTTTGGTCGTTGGCTCGAAAAGCAATTCTGATGACGCTCGTGTCCATCGAAGTAGCTGCTGACCACGCGACACCTTTCTGAATCTAATTGATCGATCCAAGAGACCGCAGTAGGTCAGTAGAAGCTTGCCGCAATGACGTATTGCGTGCCTGGTATCGATAAGCTAGTACCCATTCCAATACTGGTAGGAACCTCTGGTTACACCAGCCCACGGGGGATTCATTGTCTGTCCGTCTGTCAGTCTGTCTGCCTGTCTGTCTGTCTCCGTGTCCGCGGCTGCAATGATTGGTAGAAATTCAAAAGATACTTTCTTCGCGGGGTGTCGCTGAAGCTCTCCCATTAGTCAAAATTCCCTGAAACAACCGACGTTATCTTGGCGCCGTGTTGCTTGAGCTCTGTGGCGTTGCGCTCTGTGACGTTGCGCCGGGGTTGTCTGTGTGCACCACCATCTCAGAAAAGCATGCACGCAACACAGGCGAGCGACACGTGAAGAGAAGGCTGCGCGGCTCCGAAAGCAGCGCCAGGGCAAATCCAACGCACGCGCCGCTCAAACGGCGAGCGACACGCCGACGCAAAAGGCTAAGCGGCTCGCGGGCACATTCTCTGTCCGTTTACAACGTTGTTGTCTCCTCGTCCCACGTGATGTGCGTCCCTCGCCATCTGCTTGACCACGTGTCCAAAGATCTGCCTGCGGTTCTTGATAGTATAACCCTCGCGCCGTCGTCATAGCTGCACTTGCCAACACAACTTGAATCGGCCAATGCCACCACAGCAAGTCGTGGGAAGGGGACCGGTCGACAATTTCGAATTCAACTACCTCGTTCTCGCCTTCAACGGCCACTTGCAACTCAACATGTCCTTCGCATTCCTCGAGCATTGCACGAGGCGCCCGCAGCGATGTGCCCGGACCCAGCATCACGCTGGCTTTCCTGGCAGCAAGCAGCGTCAAAAAAGCCTGGCGAACAGCCTTGCCGATAACACGCAAGATGCGGTCACAAACTGCATGCCCTGCAACTCACAACCTTCGCATAACACAAATGAGCGACGCGGAAGACACATGCTTCAGGTCTTTCGCACTTCCATCGACTCCATTGCTCAACGTTACCTCGAAAATAGGTTTCCTACCAGCTCACTCCGCAGGAACCTAGTTAAATCACAGGGTAAAAATTGTGTTGCAACAAATCAATGCCAACAATGTAGCATACAACTGACGCGAGGCAAGGATACGAGGTGCTACTGTACGCTAATGAGGCAGGTCCTGCGCCTTGGCCGATGCCTTGATATCGAAGGGCCAGATGCGCTGGACTGCGCCGAGGACGAAGGCGGCGACATTGCTCATGCGACTGCTGCAACTCGTTGTGACCGATTCCGCTCCCTGGCAACACCCAAAACGTGAAACACCAGACAAAGGGAGGACATACTCCGTAAACACCGGATAGTGTACTACAAAGCAGAACGGAAAGTGACAGCTAAGCTACGTCTACTGACTGCTGCCAAAGGATGTACAGTCCCCTAGAAACGGGCTTCTCCCGTAAGTCTAAACATGCAAACACACATCGCCTTGTCTCGGCCTAGTGGTGTTGACGTGGGCTAGGTTCACACCCAGTGCCCCACCACTGTATGCGACCAACGTCACACTCGTCCGGTCGTGCCCGCGATGGTCCAAGGCGAAACCATCGCGTCGTGGCCGGTTGTAGCTAACGAGCGTTCGCGTTGAGAGCTAATACATTGTTGGTTGGATCGACCTTGCACCACGAATTGGTTGTGACCCAACATTTGAATCAACCAACTCTTGCCTCCATATGCTTCAGTCTTCATGATTTGATCCAAAATGACCACACGCCCACGTCATTCGTTCCGCGTGAGCCATCAGCACCACCTGCAGGTGGATTGCAGCACCAGGTCGAGTAGAAAAGTAAGCGTAAGAAATGGTTCATGTGCATCAATTGTGCAGCATCGATCGGATGTGTCGCGGCGTGCTGCTGTCGTTGCCGTGGCGACTGGCAAACTTGATGGCGTCCAGCAGCTGCGTGCACGCTGGCAGCGTCTTGCGTCCATCGACCAGCGCTCGAAGACAGCGTTTGACCTACGCAGTCCATCGGCAATCTCACGCGAACCGCCGGCTCGATACCTTGAGCGGCGACGACGCTGCAAAGACGCCTTGGGCGAGGCTATGGTCCAAGACCAAGATCGTCGCCGCCATCGCGCGCATGCAGTAGACAGCTTGCGCTGCGTCCAGCGACCTACGTTGCACATCCATCACCCCTACGACTATGTAGTACGGTATGGTCGACGTACGCCGACTTGGTCGATAGCGTCGCGTAGGCCGCGTGGGCGACAGATGCCAGCGCGGTCGCTGCGTCGGGGTGCTACCGTAGCGCAGCACATCAGTTCTAAAAGACTTTTGTGGTCGAGCGTACGTGCAACAAGGTATCGGCAATGGCGCGGCCGAGGAGCTTGATCGCAGGCATGTGCTCACCGAGGAAGAGGGAGAGCGCGTTTACTTGCGTCTCTGAAATCCTAAAAAAATGAAGTCGACACACTGGACATCCTATGATCCTCAAGTGTACTCGTGCATCGCATTCTCCTTCTTGGCGGAGGATGCGAGATGCCGTCGGTAGAGACTCACGTCGTTCTGCACGCGGGGCGTCATGGCCTATAGAAATGTCTGTTGTCGCAACGGCGGCACGCGAATCTCAACCTTGAAATTGTCAAAGGCGAGAGCAAAGATGCAGATATCGGCCACTCTCTGCAGCTGCTCGCGCTGGTTTGCGCTGGTAGCTAACACAAGACATGCTGCTCCGACCATGTTACTTGGATGCTACTACGTACTCTCTGGTGCTGCCAGAGCCAGCAAGAGCTGGGGCAGAATCGCGCCTACCACATCCAGGCTCGCACTCGTCCATGATAAGCGACGTACCATGGTGCATCGCCACCAAGTACACTTTGTGGAGGAGTGCTACGTTGGCCTCGAGTGGTCGTGGTCGCTCCGAGGCCTGTTGGATCATAGCACATCAAGAAGGCCAACGGCTACAAGTCGCAAGCGAACCTGGTTGGGCGGCTCAGCTTCGTAGGCTTGCAGCTGCAGCATGAGACCCTCGGCGACGTCGTCGGTGCTCGTTCGCGTCGGCGCTTCTACAAACCGAGGGTCCTCTCTTGTGCTTGCTCGAGCAGCCTCGCACCATCGTCTGGGAGCAGGAGCAGCTTGGCCTTGGTCGTCTTGGACGCATGTACGTTGCCCATGGTCACGGGTTCGATACTCGTGCGAGCAGCGGTTTCAGAGATATTGGATATGTCTCCGTCGCTTTGGCTCGTGCATCCGCCATCCTATCTCATGCATCTCGCCATGATGACGTCGTCGTGGCCAGAGGTTAATGATCGGCCCGAAGCGTAATGCAGCGCACTATGTGAGAGCCAACCCGCAACTGCCTTCAACGCCGCCGACGCGCCGCTGACGCAATCCACATATAGTACGATTGATCGTTCTATCTGTCGTATCAAAGGCGTTGCATGGCGTAGCACCGCATGAGATCGCGTCGCATCCTGCGCATCTCACGCTGAAGGTAGTTAGGCGCCAAATGAGAGCTTTTTGGACTGTCATTGCTGCCAAGAAGCGGTAGCATCTCCAGCGAGCGAGTACTCGATGCACGCCTGCAGCCTCTCGACCCGATCGTCCAATCTCGGAGCGCTCACTACTTGGTGTAATCTTGGAGACAAGCATTTCCCGCTTCGCGTGTGAGCTTGTGAGCTTGCATTGCAAGATGCATCGTCTGCAGGATCCAGATTGGTGTGGCCAGTGGTCTCACCCAGTGTGCTGCACCCACCCCAGTAACGTGTTCTTCGCATGCCATGCGCTTCTGCAGCTCCTCCGCTACATGCCCGCCTGGATACGGGACCGGAATCGAAGAGCGAAGATCCACTCGAAGATCCGGTTGGTATTTGTGGTCGGTGCCACTGCGAGGATTCGGCAACAGCCAAGCAAGGACGAGATGGCGACAACGCGGCTACAGCTCGATGCGCTCTAGGCCAGGCGGGTGCGGGACGACGCCGTCGGCGTTGCTATGGTCCGTGGCGTGCTTGGCGATCTTGTAGTGCTGCGTGCAAACGCCATCGACCTTGCCGAGACGCTTGCATGTGGGGACGCTGCAGAGCAGATGCTGGCGGTGCTGGTTGCACAAGCCGCCGCCGCGGTCCTTGTTGAAGCAGCCCGCGGCCGCGCAGAGAACAAAGCCGCCGTGCATTGAACAGCGCTTGCCACGCTGCGCTCGCATGTGGCAGCCTGGCTGCATGCAGAGCTGGCCACCGCCGTGCGCGATGCACTTGCCGCCGGCTTGGGAGCTTTTGCTACAGCCTCGCACCAAGCAGCGCGGGCCACCGCCGTGCTTCTTGCAGAGGCCATGGCTTTGTGCAGCGACGTTGCAGCCCGGGACGGTACACGCCTTGCCGCCACCGTGACTGACGCACCGGTTCGTTCCGCGCGACGATGCTCGCTTGCAGCGCGGGTAGTCGCACTGCTTCCTGCCTGTCTGCTCTACCTGGCGTCGCGGGTGGCGGTAGCCAGCGCTCGGCAACGCGTCCTGCGGCTGTGGGCAGCTAGTGTTGTCCTGGACCTCGTCGTCGTTGCTGCTACTGACGAGGATGAACGATATGACCATGCGAGGGTGCTGGGTTGCGTTCGGGGGCATGGGGGCTTGCCGCTGATGTCTGCAAATCGAGGACTAATTTGTTAGTGTCTGAAACAATAAAAAACACATGTACTGTATAAAACACCTCTCGAAAAATGCCGTTCATTCAACATGACGGCGGCTCGTTCCTCGACACGCGTTCAGTAGCATGTACCGACGGCTGTCGAGACTGTCGCTCGTGTTGCGATGGCAATGCTGTCTGCTTTCTTTCGTCGGTCGGCGGTGCTTCGATCCTCGGTATGCGCCAGTAGTAGACAAAAACATCTGAAATTCATCACTTCATGCTCGTTCAACGCGCATACCGCTCACAAAAAGCAGCATCGAGCGGTTCCACGCTGTGCAGCAAAGCATCCTTGTTTCGTCCTAGCAGTCCTACCAATCAAGATGACGCGCACTCGTGTTGGCCATGTCTGCGG